TGTGTGTGTGTGTATGTGTGTGTATAGATATAAAAATATATAAAGTATATATATATATACACACACACATATATAGTATATGTATATTTTAGTATACATATTGAGTATGTGTGTGTGTGTGTATGTGTGTGTATAGATATAAAGATATATAAAGTATATATATATATATATACACACACACACATATATAGTATATGTATATTTTAGTATATGTATTGAGTATGTGTGTGTATATATATATATAGAGAGAGAGAGAGAGAGTGTTCATATAGTATATGTATATTTGAGTATATATATTGAGTATGTATATGTGTGTATATATAGAGAGTGTATACATATACATATATAGTGTATGCATATTTGAGTATACATATTGAGTATGTGTGTGTATATATATGTATATATATATAGAGAGAGAGCACATATATATATATACATATATAGTATATGTATATTTGAGTATATATACTGAGTATGTGTATGTATATATATAGAGAGAGAGCATGTGTATATATAGTATATGTATATTTGGGTATACATATTATATGTCTGTATATATAGAGAGAGTGTGTATATATAGTATATGTATATTTGAGTATATATATTATGTATGTGTGTATATATATATATGTATAGAGAGAGAGAGAGAGAGGGAGAGAGAGTGTGTGGATGTGTGTACATATATATATATAAAATAAATGTATACTTGAGATTTTTGGCCCTTTGTTTCACAGTCTGGAAAAGCCCACGTGTCATGCTCCCAGCACCTCTTAGCCTGGACCAGCTGCATTTCAAGTGCTCGGAGCAGGAGATGCTGCACTGACAGCCCGGCCCCAGGCCCTCGAGGGCCCGGCCACACCAGCCTCACCCAGGAGCTTGTTGGAAATGCAGAGTCGTAGGCCTACCCAGGCCTACTAGTTGGTTCTGCATCTTAACAACACCCCCCAGTGATTGTGACACGCAAAGAACTGCTGCAGACCGGAGGTCATCATGCCCTCCTGAACGCTAGACCCGCTGAACATGTATGTGTATATATATACATATGTAGTATATGTATATTTGAGTATATATACTGAGTATGTGTGTGTGTGTATATATATAGTGTATGCATATACATATATAGTATATATACTCAAATATACATATACTATGTATGTATATATATGCACTCTCTCTATATACACACACACACTCAATATGTATACTCAAATATGCATATACTACATATGTATATGTATACACTCTATACACACACACACACACTCAGACATCTGGTTTCTCCTCAGTCCCGTCTTCGAGCTCTGAGTCCATTCTGGGCCCCTGAGAATGGGGCACCTCCGTATTGAACGTCGTAACTGACACGGCGCTTCAGCACATTTGCTCATTTCGATGCTCACTGTAACTCTAGAGAGTTGCTCGCATTGTTTCCAAGTCACAGATACGAAAGCCGAAGCTCAGTAAGGCTGAGAAAACTGCCCAAACTCACAAAGCCGATAAGCTGTAGAACGGGGACTCAAACCTACGTCCCTCAGATTCCAACGTGCCTTCTCTCCCCCACCAACCCTATGTATACACTCTATACACACACACTCAGACATCTGGTTTCTCCTCAGTCCCGTCTTCGAGCTCTGAGTCCATTCTGGGCCCCTGAGAATGGGGCACCTCCGTATTGAACGTCGTAACTGACACGGCGCTTCAGCACATTTGCTCATTTCGATGCTCACTGTAACTCTAGAGAGTTGCTCGCATTGTTTCCAAGTCACAGATACGAAAGCCGAAGCTCAGTAAGGCTGAGAAAACTGCCCAAACTCACAAAGCCGATAAGCTGTAGAACGGGGACTCAAACCTACGTCCCTCAGATTCCAACGTGCCTTCTCTCCCCCACCAACCCTCTGATCTCCAGAAGTCAGAACTGAGCACAGGGCCCTGGTGGGAGATGCACAGCGTGGTCCCTGCATGTTACACTTGGCCATTACTGGGGCTGCGAGCAGGTGCCCTGGCTGCCGTTCGGGACAGGCAGTTTGTGAGGACACAGACAACCAACGCTCTTGGCTTCTCTGCATGTGCCTAACTTGTCCCCCTGCACTCCCCTGAGGTCCATGTCTACCACCACAGTTTAAAGGATTTCTGACTGGTTCCCAGGCAAAACTACAAAAGGAAGGGTGTGTGACCAAACAGGGGCTTCCCACCGCCCCGTCCCAGTTCCCAAAGGTCCAACCTGTAGTCACCTTCACTTCCCAGGAGACAGGACAGTAGCTTAAACCATGCCACCCTAAACAAAGGAGTGAACACGAGGCCCCAGTGTTGAAGTGCCCACCGCAGCCACCGTAAGCAAGTGTCAGGGGCTGCCCTACCTCGGTCCTGGGTTGATCGGTCCGTTAGTGTGGGGCACAGACAGGATGCCGGCATGGGGTGTGGAGGACAAGGAGGTCCAGCTGTCGGGTCCCGAGAAAACTTGCAGGTTGTTGTTTGAGTTTTCTATCAAATTCACTTTGCGGAAATAACAACAGACAAGTGAGGGAGCAAGAAGAGCATACAGTGATGGTGACCAACGACACGACCCCAGAGCAAAACACCACCGCGGCTGTGCTACGCATCCCAGCACTGTTCGGACTTTCCGAGGGGACAGAAGAGAGGCTGATCGACTATCCGCCAGATGCCAGGTGCCACTCACAGTCTGGTGCTCACAACGAATTCCGTCTTTATTTACCTGGCGGAGGTTCAGAGGGGTAGGACAGCTGGCCCTTCGTGACGCAGCTCTAAGTCGGTTCCCCTCTCTTACCACCCTTTAAGAGCGGACCACGGCCGACTTGTGGCTGCGTGGCGTGAGCCAGGCTGTGAGAGACACTGCAGGTGTCCGCGTGACATGCGCTGACTGCCCACCCTCTATGGCAGAGACTGAAAGGCTGGCGGACAGGAAAGCATTGAAAATAGTGGTGGGCACTGGAGGGAAGGTGGGAGAGGGGGAGAGCACAGGAGGGAAATGAGGGGGAAATGGAGAGGCAGGACGTTCGTGGGGCACAGAACTGGTTTATGACCTGTTGATGGTAGAGAGTACAGCACCCTCAACCTGACTGGTGCGAAGTGTTTTCATGTTGGGTAAATTCACTTTACCAGCTAAGCAACGTGCAGTGATTGAATGTATAAAATAAAGTTCAATTTAAAAAAAGAAGAAGAAGAAGGTGGACCACCGTGACCAGTACCTTCAAGCCAAGCCTGAGGGCCACCAGTGGCCCAGGAGAGATTTCTGAGGCCCGGGATGTCATTCCTCTCAGGGATCCCCATGTCAATTTAAACATCTCAGCAATGGTGTCGTTTCATCAAAAGAACAAGAAGGCATGATCTTACTTGTCTGTGAAATGGAAGAAAGCTGAATACGGGGAGCAGAGAGTATGACGGGGGGCGGGAGGGGGGGCAGGGATCCACAAGCCGCTGACCGAAGATCCAAAGTCGCAGTTCCGGAGGATGAACTAAGTCCGGAGAGCGCACACGACACGAGGGCCGAAGTCAATGACACTGCATTGTACACGGAAAGGTTGCAGAGCCGGTGGATTTCAGGTGTTCCCACACCCAAAACCAGCTAACAATGTGAGGAGATGGATGTCAACTTACTTGACCTAGTCATCATTCCCCGCGTACGGGGATAGCAAGCACCGTGCATACGTCTTAAATATGCACAGTTTTTATGGGGAAGAAAAATAAAGTATCTTTGCATAAAGATTGTATATGTAAGAGGGAGTAAGAGGACAAGAGGGAAGGGGGAAAGAAGGAGACAGGGAGAGAGGAGAAAGACGAGGAAGATTCCAAGATACCCATATCCCCGGTGCTTCGTGTTGCATGTGTTGGAAACTCAGCTCCCAACGTGGCAGTGTGGGGAGCAGGGACCTTTAGGAGATGGTTAACGGGCCAGCAGGTGGCATGGTGGCTAGGGTGCTGGACTCCCACAGGGCACCCCAGATCTCCTCTTGGGGAGAAGCTGCGTCCTAATTATCTTGATATCCCCTCAGTGTAGAGGAGCCAGGCAACAGCAAAGCCAGGCAGGCCATGTGCCATAGGGCGGGCGCCACCATGCCCTCAGGCAGGCCATGTGTGCTGAGTACAGGAAGTGCAGCGAGGCAGGCTGGGCCCCGGCAGGAAGTGCAGCGAGACCCTGCTCGGCTTTACCTGTTTTACCCTCCTGGAAGCTGTGCAGTTTGCTCGAGTCACAAGCTGGTGACCAGGGGAGCCCTCTGCAAAGGCAGAGCTCAGGTGTCACTGAGGGGGGAGGGAGGCAGGACTCCCAACACCCCAGCACCCCCGCGCCATGACTGTCACTCATTTACTTAGTGTCCACATTAGCATAGACTCTCCTTAAGGACAAGGCATTTGTCCATTTTGTCCGTAAGCCTGGGACACAGCCCGGCACCTTGTCAGTCCTCGACAAATATTTGATGAATAATTGAGTGCAAAATTAACCTTTATTTCTGTTTCTCCATTCTTCCTACAAAACGGATAACCAGGCGAGGTCTGAGAGCACACAGACCAAGAGAGACACATCAGGAGCCCCGAGCAAAGGCACGCACGCAGCACCCGGTGGTGAAATGGCCCGGCTGCAGGAATCAGCGGGACTGGGCTGACTGCCTCCCCTGAAGCAGATGAAGGCCTGAGTGTTCAGGGACAGCTCCCCAGCCAGCTCCCAGTGAATCTCCAGGCGGCGCCCAGCATGCCCCAGGCAGAGCCGTGAGCTCTTTCTGCAGAAAAGAGCTGTGAAAGGGCCATGGCCGAGTGCTGCAGGTCCACAGCCTCCCTGCCGTGCACCAGCGCCTCGGGCTGCCGAAGTGGCGTTCTACAGTCATTGCAAACCACTAACACGGTATAACTCGATGACCAGTGTGATTGCATGAGCTTAAAATAGGGACCAGCAATTGGCATAATAGCTATGTTGCTGGACTCCCATGTAGTAGACCGTGGTTTGAGTCCCAGACCTGGTGGCTTAGAACTCATGCCGGGCATGTGTGTGTGCATGCCCAAGATCCCGAGAGGAGAATGGAGAAGGGATTGCGGCGTGACCATCCCCCCTGGGGGGTGATTTCTCGCTTTCTGTCTCTATGTTTCTCTCTGTCTGTCTGGCAAGCGCACGCGCCCTATAGCGAAAACCTCTCAAAAAAAAAAAAAAAACTCTCAAAAAAATAAATAAAAATAAAATAAAGCATCAAATTACATATGCATATCAGATGAAAGTGATTCTATCCTCAGACACTATTTCTTACTCACTGTGGATCCATTTCTCCTGTCTATCCACCCCAGCCCACACCCCGAGGGGTTAATTAGCGCCCAGCACACCTGTGGGAGAATGGTTTCTGTGCACGTAGGCAGGAGGGTAGGGCGCCTGCCGGTGTCCTCGGAGGCCAGAGTAGCGCTCACAGCCGTGGTGGGTGTGGGGAGCGGGCAGAGGCAGAGGAGCCGTGTACTGGTAACTGGTATTTCCATCTGGATTGGAGAAGATCCAGCCCCCCACTAGAACAGACGAGAGGGAGATGCAGCACGGGGTGACCAGCTGCTTCGCACAGCTATGTGCCCTGTGAATGGCACTGACGCCCACCCCGTGGGGTGCCACCCCTTCCCCAGGAGCAGGTAAGGTGGCTTCTCTGGAGATTGACACGAGACCCGTGCGAATGAGTGAAACCCCTAAGCAACAGCAGGAGGCAGCTGTACAAAACACGGCCTGGGTGCAGACCTCACAGAGATGCCAAAGTGAGGTCGCTTCTGACCTAATCAAACACGTCATCTAGACGGCGGTCCAAAGTGAGGTCGCTTCTGACCTAATCAAACACGTCATCTAGACGGCGGTAGATGGGCATGCGGCCCACTCACCCTGGCTCCCCAGGATAGATTCAGCGGCCCCACAGAGCCAGAGAGGGGCTCACCATGTCTGCCCTGCAGGAAGGTGCCTTCCGCTCACCCCGGCCAGAGGAAACGTCCTGCCTCCCACCACCCACAGTGGGACCCAGGGGTGGCCGAGCCCCTCTGGACAGCAGCCTTCTGCTGAACTGTCGCAGGAAGCCGCCCGCGAGGATGCTGGGAGGACTCTGCTCTGAGCATGTGCAGGGGCAAGGCCAAGATTGGCCCTGCCGGCTCTGAACACCAAGCACGCCCCCCACCCGCAGACCTCGGTAGAGACCAGGCTGGGCATTCGGACTGGACCGAGCTGGTCCTTCAGGTCCTGGCTGAGGGCTGTGGCCTGGGCTCCCACATGAGGTGATGGGGCCTGGAATGACAGCCCACTCTCGCTGCCTAATGCTTCTGAAGGTTAAGACAGGAATCACTCAGAGTTTCTATTACTGGGGCCCAGTCATTCCCCACAAATCCTCTTGTCACCCTCATTTTCCCACTGCTGTATAAACACATGACCAGGGACCCTCCTGACCAAGGAATCCACCGGGCAAGTGGGCCCAGGGCCACGTGGTTGGCCACGAGTAGCGTGCACACCTCCAGGAGCGTGCCAGGGTGTGAAGGGTGAACTCAGGAGGTGTGGTCTGCAGGTCCACAGCAGCCCACGCCCACCTGGCAGGCTGTTACTCCACGTCACCCGCTCCCCTCGGCACAGCTGTACTGCATGACCATACTGCCACCAGCACCCCTCTGCACGGACATGCTGCTCTTCCAGCATGGAAGGCACATCCAGGCTTGGGGGAAGGCGGGCGTGAGGGACACCCGGTGTGGAACCCGAGGGCTCTCAGCAAGCCCCCCCACCCAGTGGAAGGCGGCCCAGGCCCAGGCCCAGGGCTAACTTCCTACTCAGATGTCACTTGCAGCTTCATGGACACCTCTACCTTCTGTCACGAGGCCAAGGCGACCTCACGGACGCGGGGCGGGCCCTGGTGGAGCATGCAGTGCTCGCTCGGGACCCCAGACGTCCTGCGCCCAGTCTCCCAGGCCTTCCAGGAACAGACGCGAGCCTCCCCGCTGTGCAAGGCCACAACCTGACCAGCTCCCAGGCAGGACATGCTAGTGCAGGGCAATCAAAACAGAACCCTGTGGGCCGAGGGCAAAGTGGATGGTAGGTCCCCAGCGTCCGGGAGCGCTCAGCCCACCGACTGGGAAACTCGCGCCTGAGACGTGCACCCCTCCACGCTCACCCTGCCTGAGGCCTGTTCGGGCGCCTCAGCTGGTAGCCTGCCCGCTGGGATTCCGGAAGGCATGAACTTCCTTCCAGGAAGGCACAGCTGCAGCTGGGGCACCTCCAGAGCCTGGTGTGAGAGAGGGCCCCGCGGCACAGACCCCGCCCGCCCGCACACCCCACCCCAGGGCTGCCACTCACGGTGGGGGCAGGCCACGTGCTGTCCCTCTGAGATGGCCTCCGGAAGGTCTTTGAGGTGATTTCTGAAAGAGTAAGGGGAGGGCGCCACACTGACCAGCTCACACAGGCCAGCGGGACTGAGACTCTCGGAGAAGAAAGCCCAACACCTGTTCCTCATGGCTCCTCCCCACCCCGCCCCGACCCCCCCACCTACCACGCAGTTTCCCTTTACACTGCCACTTAACGGTCAGCCCCACCTGCCACGCTTAGGCTAACCACTGCTCAGGGGTTTGTTGTTTTGAAGGTTTTTGCCATAGGGTGCACGCACTCACCAGAGAGAGACAGAGAGAAGGAAAATGAGATATCGTCCCCCAGGGGAGATGGCCACACCACACTCCCTTCTCTTCATGAGATGTTGGGCACGTATGCACGCACGCCGGGTGTGATTTTCAAGTCACGGGTCTGGGACTCGAACCGCGGTTGGCCATGTAGGCATCCAGCACCTTGCCCACCACACCACCTGCTCGGCCTTCCTGTTAGTTTGATCTCACTGATCGGTGGTCGTTGCTCTGCCTCATGAGATCCAAGCAAGAAGAAAGGCTAAGACTTGCATGGGCTTCAGGGACAGTCTGCGTGTGACACGCTGGGCCCACCAAGCCCTGGGAGGGTGGTCCTCTGCCCCTCTGTAGGCCAGAAAAGTAGGTCTCAAGGAGGAACCGGCTCTTGCCAGATCAAACCACCAGCACATGGCAGGGTGGGAACTCAGTCAGGACCTCTTACTCAAGCACCTGGATCCTCTATGAAACCACACCACTGTCGCTCTGAACCCAGCCTCACGTCCCCTATCAGCTTGTCCTCTGGGCCTTTAGTTATCAGAAAGTGACAGTGTGTTCTACATTATCACAGTGTACTCAGTGCTGGAAGGACAGGTGTCTGGACACGTCATCGCCCACACCTGTCCATCATTACGGAGCCGGAGTGGGTTCCTGAAGGTGGAAAGGAACGATCGGGAAGTTACAAGGCCACCAAAGGTATCTGAAACTCGGGCAGTAAAATCCGACGAGCCCTCCAGCCCGGTCAATAGGAAAGCCAATGGTGATTAACGATCTCTTAGTTTGTCCCCGAATGCCGGTGTGGGGATGGGGAGCCACCGGACCTAGTGCAGTCCTCGCCCCTGGCCTCCAGGTCTCCGACTTCTCGCACCAGAGCAATGTGAGCCCACTGTCACCCGCCATTCCTGAGCTAAGTGTAGCTGTAAAAACTAAAAGAAAAAACTGAAAATCATATTACTGAGGGCAGGTAGGTGGTGTGGTGGTTATGGTGCTGGACTCCCACATGACCGACCACAGTTTGAGTCCCACAGTTTGAGAGAGAGTTTCTCTCTCACTCTTTCTCTCTCTCTCTCTCCCCCTTTGGTCAAACTAAAAAAAATTAATAAAATTAAGTTAAATAATTCTTTTAAAAAAGAATTAAAAAATCAGAGACAGCAGGTGGCATGATGGTTAAGAGCGGGGAATTCCCCCATGGTTGACTGTGGTTCGAGTCCTGGACCTGGTGGCTTGCTTTCTCACTTTCTCTCTCTCAAAAACCCAAATTACTCAGAGAAGTCATAGGAGAGGAACAGAAATGCCACAGCCTAATGGTTAAGGAACCCGGACCCCATATGACTGTCCAGTTTGAATCCTGGCTCTGGGAACTTAAAAACCACACAGCGCAGATATGCGCATGCCCACAGTCTCGATGGGGTGGGCGAACAGAGGAAGGGCTTGCAGGGGGACCACGTCCCATCGAGGGTGCTTTCTTCCTCTCCCTCTCTCTCTCCTTCTCTCTCTGATTCTCTCTGATGGGTGCACTTGGCCTCTGGTGATTAAGGACTAAAAACAGAAAAAGGTTTTAATTAAATTTTAAACATATTAAAACCTAAATCACTTTTTTTCTCTAAATATGATTATGCCATGTTCAAGAGCTGACAAAGCGGAACCGGCGGAGGTCCCCCGGGCCCCAGACACAGCGCACACACGGTTAGCATTTGGTTGGATTGTGTTGACTTTGTTGAATACCGGACTGACATTGAAGCATCCGAGGCAGCACCAGCTCTGCTAGTTCAGTTCCTTTGGAGCCGACAAGCGTGGCGTTGGCAGAAGGCAGCCAGGCGTCCCCGCGATGCCCGTACTCACCTCTCCTTGGCGTCCAGGAAGGCCTTGGCGAAGGGGTTGTACTTGATTTTGAGGGCTGTTATCTTCACACGAAGACAGGAAGGGTTAGTTAGGGCGCGCCTGGGAGGAAGACCTGGCCCGCCCCCCGTGAACTCCTGAGACCGCAGGACCGCGCCCTCTCGTCCCCTGCCCTCTCGTCCCCCACCCCATGCTCCTTGGCTCACTCCTGCACCATCCCTGGACAGGACCTTCCACTGCGGCCGGAGGTTAAATGAGAAGTGGGCCCAGGCAGTGAGGCCATGAGCCTGCTTGCTACGCGTGCCATTCGCCCTTTCAGTCATGCATCCCCTCAGGGGTTGACAGTCCCCGAACACCCGCCTGTCGGCCCCTTGCATCCCCACGTGGAATGCAGTGGAAGGCAGCCAGGAGTGGCACCTGTCCTGGAGGGGACAATTCCCTCCTTCTTCATCGCTCTCCCACTGGAGCCCTGAGCACAGGAAATGAGCGGGCACTCCCAACCACAGTCGCAACGTCCCCTTAGCCTCAGCTGCTTCACTTCTTGTCAGAGCCAGTGGACAGAGAGAGTGAGAGACAGAGACAGAGAGAGATGGAGAAAGAGAGAGAAATGATGGAGACAGAGATAGAAACATGGAGATCAAGGAGGAGCTAGAGAGACACAGAGATAGGGCGATGCTGGGGGGACAGAGATAGAGATAGAGGTCAAGATAGAGAGACAATGGAGATAAGTATACGAGGACAGCGATAGAAAGACAGAGCGAGCCAGAGACAGGCGCTCGCGTCACTCTCCCCGGAGGCGTGAGGCCCTCGAGTCAGGGCACCCCCTCCACTCCATGCAGCTCCCACGCCCCGGGGTGAGACCCGGCAGGGGGCCACGCCCTGCTCATTCTGGCCGCGTGACTGACCCTGGCAGGACGTCTTGTCAGTGCAGGCCTGAGGCTCACAGCCCCCGGGGGCAGGATGCAAAGGAAACTAAAGCGCGCCACCCTCCGGCCAGAGCTACGGGAGGAAGCCGGAAGGGAGCAGAGGGTGGGCCAGACACGAGGGGCTATGTCTCCGCAGCTCAGCCTGGGACGTCTGGTGAGAGTGAGGCTGACTCTCCTACCCCTCACCCTGGTCTCTCAAGGCGCAGCTCTGTGGGCCTGGCAGGGTAGCCCTGAGGGCAGAGGGGCACTCTGGGGTTCGGTTCCAGAGCTCAGTTGCCATGGAACAGGTTCAAGG